ATGCAGCTGAGCCAAGGTTCCCTTTAGAGCTACCATCCACATTCATTTTCAACCATCCTGTAGGAGGGAAAGACCAACCAATTAGTTTGGGGGGGTTAGGAGTCACCTATGAGTGGGGTTCATTGAAAGCATTCCATGAGTTCCATGCCAATCTCCAAACTTTCTTAGCAATAAAAAGGGGAGGGTTGATTATATTTCCCAAACATTCTTGATTCCTATCTTTCCAGATGTTCCATATCAAAGATACGAAGAGGATAGGTCATTTCACACCTCTCCAAAAAATGTCCTTTCTAGCATTATAGTTCTTAATGAGCCAACTTTGGAGGTCTGTAGATTGATCTAGTTGGAGATCATTCCTATTTAGAAATGATCTCCAGACTAGATTAGCTTTTGGACAGTCTCTTAAGATGTGGATAGTACTTTCGTACTGGGCCTTGCACCTTTCACAAGAAGGATCATTTGTGAGATTTCTTGTGAACCTCAAGGCGTTTGAAAGGAGTCTGTCACTTTGGACCAACCAAAGAAAATGTTTAAGTTTCTAAGGGACCCTCAGTTTCCAAATCCAATTCCAGTTCAAGTCATGGTGCTGCCTTGGAATAGGATTAGAGATCCAATTATAGGCAGATTTAATGGAGAATTTTTCATTACTTGTGAGACCCCAAGATGGTGAGTCATGATGGGAGCCTTCCAAAGGCAGTGGTGTGTGCAAGAGATCAGAGATCAAAGAGGGGGAAGGTACATACCAGCTTTTTGAATGTTCTAGTTACCTGTGGGACTTATAATCTCAGCCACTGTGTTGTTCCGATTAGCCGAGGATGGAACCTGCATCCTTCTTTGGAGTGGACTATCACTTGTCCACCAGTCATTCCATAAAGACACTTTTGAACCACTACCAATAAGCCATTTTGTATTATCTTTCACAATTTGATTGGTTTTCAACAAGGCTCTCCATATTATGGATGAATTAGGCTTACGTGGCCAATCATTTAGGGATGGGGTCATGTACTTATTTTTGACCATTTCCACCCAAAGGGACTTACTCTCAGACTGTAATTTCCAACCCAGTTTAGATAGAACAGATCAGTTGTTATCTCTACATATTCTCAATCCTAGTCCCCCAATCTTCTTAGGAGAGCAGACAGTATCCCAATTTATTAAGTGAACCTTTTTCCTCTCCTCTGAATCTCCCCAAAGGAAATTTCTATTAAGTCTTTCAACTTTCTCACAGGTGGACTGAGGTAGCCAAGAGGTTTGCATAATGTAGTTAGGGATTGTAGAGGTAACAGCTTGCACAAGAGTGTTTCTACCTGCAAAAGAGAGGTTTCTTCTTTTCCATCCACTCAATTTCTTTTGGATATTCTCGATCACTGAGCTATAATGTTCCTTACTTACTCTCTTATGAATGATGGGGATACCTAAATACTTCCCTAGGTCATCGGTGCATGTGATACCACTTTTTCTCCCTAGGTGCAAAGCATGGCTCCTACTGATATTAGGGAAAAAGTAGACTCTGGATTTGGACATGCTTACTTTTTGACCTGTGATAGAGCATAAATTATCTAATACCTCTTTAACCATGTCACAATCCCTTTCAGAGGCCCTAGAGAAGAGGATAATATCATCAGCAAATAGGAGATGAGTAATAGCAGGGCCTTTCCTTGAGGCGTTAATGTCTTTCCATAAACCTTTTTCAACTTTGTTCTGAATGATCTGCCCTAATTTCTCCATACATAAGGTGAATAGGTATGGAGACAGTGGGTCTCCCTGCCTCAGTCCTTTTTTAGGCTTAATTGTCTCCAACGGGGAGCCATTCCATAAGATGGAGAGGGAAGTGCCTGTCACACAGCTCATAATCAAGTCAATCCAGGCTTGTGGAAAATTGAAATCAATCAACGTTTGGTGGAGAAAGGGTCAACTCACTCTATCATAAGCTTTTTCAAGATCAATTTTCATTACCATCACCCCATTCTTACCTTTTCTTTTCTTTAGTGAATGGACAATTTCCTGGGTCACAATTACATTATCAATGGTTTGTCTCCCAGGGATAAAGCTGCTTTGGAATGGAGAGATAAGTTTGTTCAGGAACAGTCTGAGTCTTGTAACCAGTAATTTAGACACAATTTTGTAACTAACATTGCACAAACTACTTGGTCTAAACTGCGAAGGTAAAGATGGGTTCTCTACCTTAGGGATAAGCGAGATCCATGTTTATTGATGTCCTCTGGGCACTCTCTTTTACTTATAATTTGTTTAATTTGTTGACACACTGAGTTCCCAATGACATCCCAGTACTTATGGTAAAAGATAGCTTGGAGTCCATCTAGACCAGAAGACTTAAAAGATTTAATGTCAAAGACAGCATTTTTAATTTCAAAATCCCTAACCTGGGCATCAAGGATTTGTTTATCTATCTGGTCAAGTTTTGCTTGATGGCCACACTGGTTAGAGTTAATAAAATTACAATTTTCAGATTCAAAAAGATTCTTATAAAAGTACTGGATAACCTCTTCAATTTCATTCTTCTCCGTAACCCATAGTCCCTGGTCATTTTTCAAAGATTGTGGTCTATTTCTTTTTCTTCTCACAACAGTAGACACATGGAAGTATCTAGTATTTCTATCTCCAAGAGTTATCCAATTAGATCTAGATTTTTGAAACCAGAGGGTTTCCTCCTGCTCAAGGATACATTGGTACTCAGCTTGGAGTTGTTCTTCCAATCTTTCAAGGTTATGGGAATAAAAATTATCTTGTGCTTTCTGGATGCCTTCAAGTCTGGCCAAAAATTTATTTTCCTATGGTAGATATTACCAAAATTACTTCTGTTCCATTCTAAAGCATTCTTTTCAAATATTTTAGTAGCTAAAGTAAACTCCTGGTTGGCATGGTTCCAAGAATTAACCACCACATTTCTAAATTCAGGTTTAGTGAACCACATAGCCTCAAGTCTAAAAGGTCTAGGAGTAGAAAAGCTTGGAGACATACCTTTTGTATGGATGAGGAGAGGGCAATGATCAGAGTATGTTCTTGGAAGATTTTGGATTGCTCCTTCTAGGAACTGAAGCGTCTATTCTGCATTAGCCAGGGCTCGATCGAGTCTAATTTTTGTATTCGTCGTACCTTTCCGTCTGTTGTTCCATGTCAGTCTTGGTCTACTGCATCCAAGATCAATTAAGCCGCATCTGTTAATTCTATCATTGAATTTCCTGGTCCTATTTCCTTGATCCGAGCTTCTGCCTCTCCTTTCTGAATGACTAGCATAGTCGTTTAGATCACCGGCCACCAACCATGAATGATTATAGTTGTCCCCAGTACTACTGAGATTGTCCCATAGTAGTTCTCTGTTTGTTGGGTTAGGACTTCCGTACACCACAGATAGCAGCCACTCATTGAAATCAATACGCACTATATGAGCATGTATGGCTTGGGTCGTGGCTTCTTGAATACGGATTGTGACATTTGAAGGATCCCATAGGAGCCAAATTCCTCCTGCCCTTCCTTGTGGTTCCACTTTTTCTGACACAGTTAGACCAAATTGTTCAAAAAAATTTCCCATCTGGGAACTGTGTACCTTAGTTTCCATAAGAGCCACCACATCTGGATTGTGTGCTCTAAAGAGATCACTGAACGCCCTTCGAAATCTCTCATTACCAGCTCCTCTACAATTCCACGATAAAATCTTCATCGAATGATTTAGTAAAAGAGGGGGGAGGGAGACATCCTCACTACAACCCAGCACCATCCTGACTTGAGATCTCCTCTCCATGAGAGGGACTGACGGCATCATGGAGACTATTGTTAGTCTGTCTGTTGACGATCTGACTGAGCAAGGTTCGATCTTCAATAGGATCTCCCTGATTTCCCAGTTGGTGGTAGCTAACCAATTGGTGGTATTTTTTTGGGGGGCAAATTATAAATGACCTCCTTGTAGTTTGGTCTATTTTTAACTTACCTCCTTATACTTTAAAAACTTACACATAACCCCTTATAGTTTTGGACTAAAATAAAAACCATAACTCTATTAACGGAAAAGAAAAATGACTATTCTACCCTCCCCACAATTATCTTCTTGTAGCAGTGAGGGTTCTAGAGATCAACCTTCAGCACCATTATCACCAGTTACATCAAAACGAAGAAGGTGTAGTCGATCAAAAGCAAAACTCTCTCCGATCAGCACATGATTATGAGGCATAAGGTGTGGCCTGGTGTGCTTGCTGTAAAATTACCAGCATTGGGGCCATCCCTCTATTTGACAATTAAGTTATAATAAAGGAGTTCCAAGTCCATAGTTTACATACATGCCAGTTGATAATGTTACTGAAGCCAACACTCATTCATTGTTAACTAACCATGAATATGGCAACCAAAACTGCAGAAGAGAGAAGAAGAACTTTGTACTCAGAAAGCACTCACATTAGATACCCAATATGCCGAAAGGGAAAACTAATTTGGCATTGGAATCTTTCAAATAGCATACATCTTATAGTCATTGTTCAAAATCTCTGAATCTGACATTACCAATACTGGACCGCGACCTGCTGTTATGAGAGCTCTTCCGAATGCTCTTCAAGTGAAATGACAGGTAAAGGAAGGAAGAAAGGGCATTTTGGTCATCATAAACATATTTTTTGGAGGGAAATATTTTTTTCTCACACCCACACTCTTTTTTGGCGTGTGTGATACACTCTCCGTTACTGTGGACGGAAAATCTAACAATGTTGCTTTGGTCCAAAACTATAAGGGGTTATGTGTAGGTTTTTAAAGCATAAGGATGTAAGTTAAAAATAGACCAAACCACAAGGAAGTAATTCATAATGTGCGTCTTTTTTTTTTTTTTTCCTTTCCTTCACTTTCCTTTCTACCATTTTCATTTTCTATCATTATTTTCTTACTAATCAAACCGACCGTAAAAGAAAATAAGATGATATAACATAGCTAAAGGGGCAATCGTGCCCTTAACAAAACCAACAGGTATCAACATTTTTCACTAAAATGGTCGTCTTCTTCTAGATGGAGGTAAAGGGTGGGGGTGCTTTTAGAAACTGAAAATCAAAAGAAATAGCATGACTTACCAAATGAATGTTTTGAAGGTTATGCTGTTACTTAATTGGAGTTCCACATGAACATCAGACCTTTTCCTCCTATCAATTTTTGCAAATATACAAACAGTCGCGCCAGTAGAATGGGGCCACATGGCACATGTGCTGTTTCCGGACCACCTACTCGGAATCTCACTCACAAAATCTGCTTACTGGGGAAAAAAAAAAATCAGAAAATCACACCCCCAGGAGTGTGGTAAAATATACTTTATTTACAGAGGGGTCTACAATCACATATGATAAATGGATAGACGCGGTATGTAATAGGACCGTGATACAGTGGCACTATACAATACACATATTTTCCATTCCACCTGATCCAATTTTCACATCACATTACACTTTTCTTTCGATGATTTTGGTTCCTGCCTGGAAGACGAAGTTGAGGTTTTGCTACTAGGCCTTGGCACCTGCATAATGCCATTCATTTATTAGGATATGTTTCCCCCACAAAACCGAGTACCTTCATAAACACATGAACTCCGTAGACCACAAAACAAAAGACATTTATAAAGCCGAAGAGTTCACCGAGGATAAAAGTAAAGAGTCATTTTGTTCTTGCTAGTTAAGCTCATTTTAAGTGATCTATCCCTAATTAAAACTTCATTATTGGCTCTGTCAGAGCATCGAGTCCCAAAAGCAAAATGTCCTGAAACGGTGCCAAGTGAAAGACATGTGAGTTTAATTTGCAAGCAAATTTGACCATGGAACTTGAGTATTAAAATATCCATCAAACTCAACTCAACAACGCCATATCTCAACATTTTTTAGGTCGACTACATGAATCATGTTTTGCCATTGTGCTCTATTAATGGTCATGTTTCATGTTAGACCATAAATTATCCATCCACTTCGACAAATAAAATCTGCACATATTCTCAAGCTGCAGAGCATTATCCCTTACCTTTCTCAGCAAGCTATTACCATGTCAAATTGGCTTGCATTGTTAGGGTTCCCTCGAGGGCTATTACAGTGTAGATACTCTAAGATTCTTGGCATTGTGCATTGAAAATGAACCTATATAACCAAATTAGGAAGAGGACGATCTGTAGTAGTAACAGTGCCGTTGCCTAGCAATATATGAACACGTGAATATATAGTCTATCAAATGAGAGTAGCTCCTATGAATGGTCCCAAACAATGTCATCTTGGAGCAAAACCCATTGTGGTAACGGAAGATGTGACATCTGGGTTCCACTAATGACTCAGAAATGTAGAGGATGCAAAGATTCAGATGCTGGAAGGAAGGTGTCTATGCAATATTCAAGCAGTGATCAACAGCATTATCTATCTTGTAAATTCTCCATACTAACCTTTCTGAGTCATTACTCAGCTTGGATAGATGTGAGCTTCACTCTCTAGTACCATTCTACTTCCCAATGCTATTAAACCTTGGGATCCACTACTTTGTTAAGATAAGAAAGCAAATAATGGGATGGAGAAAATCACTCCCCAAATTCCCTTTTCCCAAACTTGTATCTAGTAATTCCACTTTCTTTATCCACAAACTCCTTTCCCTCCTTACATATTAAGCTGATTTGAAAACAATAAACATGCTTCCAGCATTTGTGAAAATATCCTTCACAGAGATTTCATAATTCTTCGAATGTTTGGAATGAACAAAGATGGCAAATTTAGTTATTTTCATCCTCAATAATATACACTTTGATAGAAAAAGCCGCCAATAATAGTTTACCCTATATTTTTTACCTTCGTTACTTCTCTAGGTCATTAATTACCTTAACAAACTCACATGTATTTCCTCCATGTAGATACCCAGAAGCCCATAAAATTATCTGTCATCCGAAACCCGTATCGACAAAAAACTTACACAAGTGTCATTTCTGCTAATGTTCACTAAGCAATTTGTGGAACAATTAATGCAACAAGCTTATACACACTCTAGAATGCTAATGCCTCTTGCACACAAATCATGCAGGCCAAATACCTATTCTTCCATGAACCGCGTTAAAGATCAGATTCTAGAAATCAAGAATGCAAACTTGGTCACCTCTAGGTTCAGGAAGCCAATGAAAAATCAAAAAATCATATTGAAGGGGGGAAAAAAAAGAGAGCAAGAGCATAGGTAAAAGAAAATCATGAAACATGCAAGTCACATAATTCATCCAGTTAAAATGACACATTCAACAAATTTCCACAATCAAATTCGACATTACAACATGATAGAGAAACATACCAACCCACAACCCATCGAACCTTATTCTCAAAACTAAACGGTATCAAAAACTCATTACTTGACTACAACCATGCATTTCAAAAACCTGTTAAGGCGAGAAGTGGTAGCAACCTTACAAAGTTTATAGAAGGCACGGAAAAAAGATGGTCCCAAGGCTCAAGTTTTAATTTGACACATGTTGGATGATGTAGAGCCTTCTTGGGAACTTGCATAAACAAAATCGAGCCTCGTTCTTAGTTACTTTTAGTTAGTTTGGTAGTAATAGCATTTTATGTGCCTTTCTTATATTTTTCAGAGTCGGGTGGACTTTCGTACTTTCTAGGTTTGTGGGAAGGGAGTTAGTACGATCCTTGGGTCATCTTTTGGGTATTTACTAATACATTTTATTAGATTGAGTGTGTCTTACAATACATGATACATTATTGTTGGAAAACGATGTGCCTTACGAATTACGATACACATTTTGACAATCTTGCATACAATTACAGTAGGGTGCTATCATGTACATAGATAACAATCATACATATCATTTCTTGATAACAGCACAAGTCCAATCCCCTTGCAGAGATATTATGTTGATATTCAGATGTAACACCAGGTGAAAACCACAAAACACATTGAAACAATTTAGAGTTAGCAATAGTGAATCAAAAAATTTACAATTTACCTGGGGTCCTGTGACCAGCCTTGAATCATTGCCAACAGTTGGCTGCTGCACATTACGCTGGGGCTGTTGCTCGAATTCCTGTTGTTGAAGAGCTATAGCCAATTGCAGGTCAGAACTGTCAAAACAATACAAAATATAAAAATTAACCCACAATAGAATAAACATAAGGATGAACTCTCATTGTCATCAGAATATGTGAATAGAAGTGGTTTGTAGGCAAATTTGACCAGGAATTGCTTCTGAGAACAAAGTAACTTAATTTCTCCACAAATGAACAACTATAGTCCACAGTACAGGTTGCATGTGCCAGTCACAAGTGACAAATGAAATAGTAACAGAAAAAATGGATTAAAAATATATAGACAACCAATTTGGTACATAAATATCACTCGAATGGAAACTATGAAAGAAAGAAGATCATAACCCTTGTCAAGGGTCGACTATGCTCTCTATCAACAAATTAATTATCAGTTATCAATGGAGAGACCAGAACCAGTTAAAATAATTACTTGAAACTCGAATGTCCTTGTGTTGAATTGTCAATGCTGGCAAGGTAGTCCTGAGAAACATTATTTGCAATTAGTTTCCCAAAAGCCATTAATTATAAATCCCAAAACATCGAGCATCAAAGAAAAACTACGTACAGCAGTATTGGCCAAAGCACTTTGCTCATCCCACGGGTTGTCGGCATGATTCTCAATCTTGAATTCCTTAAAATTACCAGTCATATACAATGTATCCCCGTTAACCTGAAGAGCACAAAGAACCAAACATAATATGTGAAGACTGCAGAATGATACCCGCCATAAGATACTTTTCGTTGTAATACTTCTTGACGAAAATGTTGGAAAACAGAGGCTAAAAATACAACATAATTTAATAATGCTCAGTAAAACTCAAGACAATTATTTGAGTTAGCTACATGAATCATGTTTGTCAGAATAGTCTATTAAGGGAAAATAATTATTGTCAAACCACAAGCTATCAAATATTTTTGTTCATAACTATTTAAAGTTAATTTTGATCTCTCTTTATCCCTCGCATTATGGTTAATAGGTATTACTATTCTCTACCACGAGCGCAATAAAAGAACTACTATAAATATGTTCAAACTACCTAATTCGATTCTTTCTCAATTTATCTCCTATTAATCCACCTTCTACTACTTCTACTATTTCAGGAATATACTTATTCTTGATCCTATCATTTATGGTTTCACCACATATCCATCTTCAAATACTTATTTATGCCACACTCAATTTTTGTACGTGTTGTTTCTTCCTTTTTTATATATTTATTCATGTTTTAAGATTTATGTTTTGATAGGGAACAGAATGTCATTGATAGAGAAGATAAACTTTCACATCCGAGCAAAGGTGGAGAAGTAACCCAATCCTATGACATTCATAATCACAAAAAGGTGTAAACAACATAGCAACATCCAAAAACTCGTACTTTTCTTTCCGGTTAAATAGCCCAATCAATTGTGAGGAAAGCACATTGCCAAAGAGTGACACCCCTCTCACCTCCACCCAATCCCTTGAAATCCACAAAAAACATGGATTACTTACCAACATTCGGTAGCATGACATCTAGCGGGTCGTAAGAACTTGTCTTTTAGTTTATTAGGTATGCATCAATCACACTACAATCCTCCTCTTAGTTTATCCTAACATCAGTTTTATGAATAATATCATCATTTGAGATAAATAACCAAAAAAAAGTCCTGGGAAAAATACGACCATAAAATTTAGTATGATTGAACTTGCAGCCACGTCAAACATAGAAGAGACCAATCATCATATTCCTCAAAAAGAATATTAGAGTAAAAGTCTTCACCTCATTGAGCTTTTCCCACACCAAATCAGGCTGATTTATATAACCTTGGTCGGTAGCCAAAATGTATAGGTCACCCTCAAACTGCAAATAAGAAGACACCAGGTATAATTACAGCAACTAATGTTGAGCAAATGGAAAGCATTATCCTTGAACTCATATCATCAGTATATTCAGCAGCTACCAGTGTATTTGGAACCTGACTGGCAGCAGCATGACTAGAAAATTAGAGCAACAGAGCTCTGCAGAAACTGACCTTAAACATGGTGTTAAAGTGATTATTCCGAAAAAACACACAAAGCTCACGTTCTTTCAGACCATCTTGTAAGCAAAATAGGCTGCAAAAATTACACGAGGTAACAAACTATAGAATTTCTGTACACCCAGCAGCATAAAACACATTGATTTGTGGACAAATTGAAGGCTAAACTGAAGAAGAGACCAACATACCCGTAAATGGTCAACTGACTAGCACTGTTCCTCAAAAAATTCCTGATCAGTTCCCCTGATGAGAATTAAGGCGAAAGGAATGGAAGTGTTTTAATATAACCTTGTGAACACATCAACAAACACATAGGAGTAACAAAAACATTAAAGACAAATAATATGTTTTATTCAGTGACACAGAACACTTCTTACCTTGTTGTGGAGTGATCTCATCATTCGAATTTGCATCAAATACATCTGCGCTGCCTGTATCCACTTGTTTCGCAAGAACAACTTCCCCTTCATATACAGGCTCACGATCTTCATAAGTTGCAGCTCCTGACTCCAATATACATTCCTCTCCTTCATATATTGGCTCACTGCCATCAACACTTGAATTGAAAGCTTCAGGCACACCAGTGCTTTGTCTTCTGTCACTGGATGAATGTGACTCTACCACTAGTGTAGACAAACAAGAGCTATCCACTATGTCATAACCACTTGTATCAATTCCTTCCTTGTGTGTATCAGCCAGGGTAGTAGATTGGTTCTGAACTTGTACCTCACCTCCAGAACAATGCATATGGCTTTCACGCACAGATGAAGCATCTTTCACCGAAGAATCCAATGGTCCACTTTCATTATCAATCAGAGGATCGGAACAAGGTTGCTGGGCTACATCTTTACATATAACATGTTCTCCAGGTTCTTCACATTTTGATTGCCCATTGGAATTTCCCTGATCAGTCTTTGAGGGTGAACAAACACCTTCCCCTGAAGCTGTTTCAAAAGTTATCATATCACTATTGTACTTGCCAAAGGCATTGGTATCATCTGCTAGTGATAGTTCCCGCTGACTAAACTCTTGTCTTCTGCAATCAATATTCCCTTCTAATGTCTTTACAAGAACCACAGGTTCAGACTTATTCGAATATGCACTCTCAGTTGAACTGACAAATAAATTCTTTGCATCAGTATCAACTGCAAGGGTATCATCTGCTGAAACGGGCATTTCAACTTCTGTTAACTTCAAGACCCTCAACAGCTCTGCTTCTTCTTCAACGTCTCCTTTTCTTAATTTGTGGTGATCTGAAGTGGAGCGGGGAGAATCATCGAAAGATATACCTCTTGAGAGGCATGGAGAAGGTACTCCTAGAGTTGCAGTTGTTGCAGCAGCGAAATCAACACAATCTTCTTCAGGCTTCTTCTGTTCATTCTCAGTATGTTGTGTTTCAAGGGCAACAAGCTCTCCCATAAGGGTATTGTATGACTTTGACCCAATTGCATTCACAGTATCATAATCCTGGTTGCAAAAACCAAAAGTCTCACTCATAAAGCCAAAGCATACTACATGACATGTACTTCAAAGATCACCAGTATATGATCCACATTCTTGAAAATGATAATTTCCCACTAAAGAAACAGATAAAAATCCCTCCTATGTAGTACTAACAGAAGCATTTGATCATTTGATTCAACATCAGAATAAAAGAGCTTCGAACAAAAATACATCCTACAATTTAGAAAAAAAAAAAAAGCAAACACTAAAGTGATAAGTTAACATTCACCTTCTGGGCTATACAGTTCATCTCCTAACATTAAAATGCATCGAAAGTACCCCCAAACCTTCACTCTCTTTCATTATTACCCGTTGTTTAGTAGTAGAACAGAGGCTGCATGCATAGCTGGGCTGTGAGAAGGCCAAATTTTGAAAGTAACAGTATAGCCCTTCAACAGCTTTGTTGAACCATCTTACCCATCCCTTCCTCATTTTCTTCTACTTCACAATATTAAGGACTCTCTCTCTTTCTCTCAGCATACAACCACCCAACCACTGCAGTGCAAACACTTCAAACCTTCATCCCATGACCATTATCCCTGGTATGACAACTAGCTTCACCATCATTTTAACAAGATTGCCGATTATAGCCAATCCCATAGTACCACAACCACTCTCATTGGCCCTGTCCATTTTGAAAACAGTTGCTCCTTAGTTGCCCAACATCTACTCCATTAATAAATGGCTGGCCTAGGTAATTTTATTAAGTTTCCATTTAACTTCTCCAGTGTATGTCGATCACACAACATTTCAGAAGCTCTCCACTTAACTGATCATTCTTTAATTCTTTCTCCAAAAACATAATCTTCAACCTCCTCTGTGAATGATCAAGAGCCTAGTGACAAAATGGGCACTTCAATATTTTTAGCCTTCACGTTTCTCTCTATCATTAATTATGTAGTTGATGGTTATGTTCCAAAATACTCTTTTTCTTTCTTCTATGGCTTCTCACTAAACTTCATGTCCGTCATCTACGCTGGCTTAGTTGCACAAATCAGCTCAATGTAATTAGTCTAGTTCGAGCTTATCTTCTAAATCATTCACTTTTTCAAGTTATGGACACATTTAAAAATATGTTGGAGATCTCCAGGAGTGTCTGGGAAATGTTACCGTCCAACATGGTCATTGATCCTGCCTATAAATGTCTGCTTTACGGAATTGATCACATAAATAAAATTACCTTTACGAATTTGCCCCAATTGGGCTCCAAACCATTAACATCATACAAAGCATAAATAATGATGTATGTGATTACAATTGTAATCAATCGAGCAAGGCTCTACATAAAAATTTCCATGAATATATTTGAACCCATTACAAACAAGCACTTAAGAAAGTCACAATGGTGCAAAACAAAAAGATGTTATATAAACAAGTGTTGGAAATAAGTTGTACCTTAAAATGAGGTTTCATGCCAAAATATTCATACCTGGGGATCAACTATCCAACCATGATAAAGTGGGATGTCCAGCAAGTCAAATATTGCACACTCTCGGGTGAACTCAAAATCCTGAATTCTGCAAAAAATTAGCCATATATTCCAATAATTGAACCAATCGAATAGGGTCACCACAACATTAGCAAAAAAATAATATGCCATGAACTACATGATGACAGGTGACTAATAAAGCAAACCCCCCCCCCCAAAAAAAAAAAAAAAAAAGTTTCCCTACCTCCTGAATTTTATATTTACATCAATCCCAGTTGCAAGTCGAGGAAGCAAATCAATTGCATCAGCAATGTTCTGTTGTTGATTTTCAACATACCCTGCATCTTTGTTCTGTACGCCAGTTGAAAGGTACAAAATTAAAACAAAAAAGCAAATCAAGTACATTTTCGTTTGGTTTGGTTCTCAATAAATGTGAATATTGAGAGAGAGAGAGAAGGGGGGGGGGGGTAACAAAGGAAGCAACATTCTTCAATTTTAAGCATTTTCTTTTCCACTATCTCGATTTTATAAGAGATGAACTGCTTTAATAAGTGTCTGAACAAACAAGCAATTACATTGACATTACTATTTGAATCGATCAACCGCTCTGCAACAAGTGAAAGCAATTTCTCCTGTGAGACTTCAGGGATGTCTGGGCTCAAATTCAATTGATTCTTCAACAGAAGAACATTACCTACAACATGGTAGACATCAACCATCATTGCACAACTCCGTTTCTAATTTCAAAACGAAATCAATCAAATAAATTACCATATATATCAAGTCCTTAAAACGAAAAAAAAAAAACATCTGAGTGGAACACAACATAACAAAGATTCCCTTATTTTATTATAATACGACCTCATCCTACCACATAAAGATAAAACAAACAAGAGGCTATTTTCCAGGTGATCATTTCCCAATAACAATAAAAAGTTTTCAATAACAAACCCAAAACCATAACCCTAATTCTTGATTTTTTAGAGCTAACAATAATAAAGACACGGTTTACAGTACAATCATCCTGATTAAGAAACATATATTGCGATCACCTATTTAACGAACGCACAATTCACGATCACAGCAAACTGTAAGAATTCGAAATTGAGTCATATAAAACACGAATTTGAATTACGAGGCGTCAACGTAATTGGGAAACAATTCGCCCTGGTAAATGTAAATACCGAGGGAGAGAATACAAAACCCTAAGAGAAAGAAAGATGAGATGCTTACAGATAGCAAGGAGAGGGCAAGGGCCATTATCGTTCTGAAGAATGACCGGAGTGGTGCGTCCCAAGAACTGTATCAACTTCGTCTTGTGTGCCATCTCTTTCGAAGGTTCCGGCTCTCTTGTTTGCTGCTCTTCTGAAGACGAAGCCATTGACCGATAGATACACCTTTCTGACAAGATATATAGAGAGAGAAAGTCTAGAGAGAGAGAGAGAGAGAGACGATGCGCGGGGAGGGGAAATGGATGTGATGTGAGATAGTACGACGACAACGCCAAAGCCTGTGTGCGGTCTTATTTTGTATTTTTCCGGTATAAACATGGGTAGATATATGTAAAAAGGGTCGGCAACGGCCAGCCGCCGGCCCAGTCAATTTTCGCATAGCCTGGGTCATGGGCCGGAAGTCCCACCCAGAAACTACATCCCATCACCATTTGATGGGCCTTCTTTGGGCTAATCTTCACCAAAGCAGCTCGAATCACTGCCCATGATTCTACTTGTTAGGCCAATAGCCATCAAGTGAAGGGCGAGGTGGGTCCGGCGCAGACAGCCATCGGGATTCCTAATATTCGCAGTGGTGGTATATGGGAGTCGGGGATCCATATATGTGTGTGTTTTGGTGTTATTATGTGTGTGGTGCGTGAGTATTTTACTATGAGTGTCGATGTACATAGATCGTTAATGTTCAATTTGTTACTATCTATATGTCACTGTGTATTTGTGTATATCATCTTGTGTTACGATATAATTACTTTCTTCATATTAGTTCAATGTTTAGTTTGTAATTGTCTCTATTTCACTGTTTATATGTTCATATATATTTATTATTGTGTATTTGTCACAATGACTTTTATGGGCATTTTAATTTTTTGAATGCAAAAATACCCTTTAAGACCCAATAAATTAGAAATTAGAAATTTTAAAAATTAAATTAATATTTTTAAAGGTCAAATTTTAACCCATAAAAAATTATGATTAATTAAATAATTAATTATTAATTATGAATTTAATTGCGCACTACAAGGAGAGGGAGAATGCTGATCCAGCCAGCTCACATACTCCGCTCTATTGGTGCGTTGGCGAAGCACAACTGTTGTACGAAAGACGATTGAAGTCTATTGAACTTTGTACGGACGAACCATCTAAAACTCTGCTGTAACGAGGTAGTGCGTGAACTTTACATGCAACCCAACTAGAAAGTTGCCAACCCACCGACAGGAATGTTATATAAACTTTTTTTTTCTTCTTATGTTAGCAAACAATGAATGCCATTTATGGTTGCTGGAGTTTAGGCAAGTTCAGACAATAATATTCTTTCCTGTATATATATATTTTTTCTTGGTTAGAGAGTGTTTAAATTTGTATTAACTATACTATTCCTTCGACCTATGAGCAGATCATAGTAACTTAAGCTAGTAAATATCGAACATAAAATCTCTTACTTATAAGACCTCTTTTCTATAGATTTTACAGTATGTAATAAATATCTTTATCTTTGAAATTACAAACAAGTGTTTTTCTCGATATTTGCTAGATACTTGTTTGTGATTGATATGTGACTAGAAAAAAAAACATTTGGAAGCTAGAGAAAATGGATTATGTTAATTTTCTATTTATCTACATATTAATATTCATAAAAAAGAATGCATCATTTTGATTAAGACAATAAATAAATACTGATGCTACAGAAAAGGGAAACTTAGTGGGATCCAAAATTCAAGGATAGCTATAAATAGGAGGCAAAATCCTCGAAAATGAAAAAAAAAAAAAAAAGGTTATTGTAACCTTACAAAATACTCTCTGTAAACTTCACACAATAATCAATATATTAAAGAACAAGAGACTCTTTCAAGAGTGGGTTAACTGAGCTCCTGAACTGGTAAACCACTATAGACACTTTTCGTAATTACCCACTCATTCTCAAATCTTATTTCATAAGAGTTTTGGAGCTCAGACTGAACTAATCCAATTATTTAGTATGTTTTATATTATCGTCATTGTTCAGTTGTGTTAAAAACATCATCAAATACATAGTGTGGTGAGGGTTAGAAGTTCAAGTCCATGCACTAGATCCTTGAACTTATATGATTGATGAAGTATATTATCGATATATTTTTTTTATCAAAAGAAAAACACAAGGAGAGTGTGAATCATAATTTCTTAAAGGGTATAATAAGGGCATGATTTGGCTCAAACAAGGTGTCTATTAGGGGTCAGGCTGAAGTGTCATGGATTTGTTCCCCTCCTTTACCTAGAAATATAATTGAGGTGTATAGATGTGCAAGTATTTTTTTTTAACTTAATTAAGAGAAAATAATAAAAATGGAAGTTAAAACTTGAAAGTCCGAGTAGTTTGGAAAGTGATCATCTAATACATTTGCATTTAATGATAGATTAACTACTATGAATTTTTGTGAGATTTATTATTTATAAGTAGACCACTTAGTCATACATGGAGAATAAGTTATCATTGAATAAAATTAAGTAAAAAAATAACATAAAAATTCTAAAAAAATTATACATGACCGACAAACTGAAAAAATTGTTATTGTTATTGTTATCGATATTATATTAAACCAAAAGCAAATGACACCGAATGATTGACATTTATCCACTTCTCATATTTATTTATTTTTTTTAAAAAAATCAACTAATGTGTCCCGCAATCTATTTTTGTGATAACCTCTTATTGAATGTTACACACCATATCATAGAGCCATATGATATATAATACTGGCTAAAAATTTTCTCGAAAATCTGGATCTAAGTACTTTGATTCACACATCCCAAAAATAGCATGTTTTTTGTTGAGGAAATATTCAATGTGGAACTCTATAGTATCAAATTTTTTTTTTTTGTTACCGTTATCGTCTTATACTATTTCTTATGGTAAAATTATAATTTTAAATGAAGAAGTTACAACTGCTCAATAAAAGATCATGATCAATCACGAACACCCATGGTCGATTATAAAAACAAGCTATTAATCTCAACATTTTATAATTGATCATGCTCTTTAAAATTATAATTTATATTTCGAAAAAATTATAACTTAATTTTAAAAAATTATAATTTTTAATACCGAGGAATTTCCTTCATAAATACTTACCAAAAAAAATAGTCCACCCTATAGATTGGATAGGTGGCTAAAGTCAGTAGCATGGATTTTTCACGCCTTCAGTGGTTGTTGGGCTTCTTGATGAATTAAATAAATATATATTCTATTCCAATGGGGTTTGGTGTTTGGTGATTGGTGATTGGTGCTTGGTGTTTGGTCTCTGTATCCTTAATTCTTTTCTTTCTTTCTGAGTGCCCATTTAAGTGCAACTTGTGAGTTTACCTAAAAAAGAAAAGAGATGAGGTTCTGGTCTTCCTTGGTCTTTCCATAATGATTTTTGTTTTGTATACCAATTTCTATGGCTGGAACACAAGGAACAAAAGCAGAAAAAGCACAGGAAAATCAAAATATCTACCCATGTCCTCCTATTTCTAGGGTTTCTTCCGATGCTTTCCTACACATACCCACTCAAATAATCCCTCATTTACCTCCCTTCTCTTTCCATTCTCACAGATCTGCCACAACCAGAAAAGCTTCTGTCTGATTTTCGTAGTTTGAGTCAGATCAACCCTTATCCATTTGGTCCTTTTTCTATTTTTGGAAAGTTCATGTTTTGAATTACGTTGTGCTTGGTAAAAGTTAGTCTTGAAAATCCTTTACAGGGAATCCATTATTTTATTTTCTGGGTCTGTCTTGGTATTTGATTTTCTCTCTCACTTCTCTCGAGTGTATACGAGAATGGTGAGGGGGAAAACTCAGCTGAAAAGGATAGACAATACGACAAGTAGGCAAGTGACCTTCTCAAAGCGCAGGAGTGGGCTTCTGAAGAAGGCCTTTGAGCTATCAGTTCTATGTGATGCTGAAGTTGCACTCATCATCTTCTCTGCAACAGGGAAGCTCTATGAGTTCTCAAGTTCCAGGTACTTGATTTCTTTCATCTGAATCTGCAGATTATTACCCTTAATTTTTTCCCATTAGATGTACAAATGGGTCCCTGAAGAGTTTATTGTTTAGCTGCCAGTGTACCATACAAGATGACCCAAAGTGTACAATGATCTCAGGCTTTAGCTGTTCAAAATGTCCTATCCTATCTCTCTTGTTTTGCAGCTTTTTATTTGGCTAATCAAATCATACCCTTGATCTGTTTTTAATGATCAGTAGTCTTGAGAGTCGACCTTTCAATTGATCTTGAAGATTTTTTTTTTCTTTACAAAAACCCAAATCCTTCTTCTCTTAAATGAGGTTATGATACTCAGTACTTACACTAAGACAATATAAAAAATAGACAAACATTCACACACAACCCACGGAAGAGTATTATGCCTCAAACATTGTAGTTACTATTGGTTTACAGTGTTTGTTCTTTTCCTGATCTTTGGGTTGTGGATGACAGATATACTCGATATGTGAAATGTTCATAGACCTAAGCTTAAGTCTGTGTCAGCTAGCAGGAAACGTACTACAGGAATAAACATTGGGCATAGCGGTGATACTATGACATTAATACTAAGTGGTATCACTAACTAATTATAAAGCAATAAATAGAATTGGTGAACCCAAATATTCTAACATTAAAGTTATTAGATAAGGTTGTTATATTAGGTAAAGTGGTTATTGGTAGTTATTAAACCAACGGAGTTCACTAAGTTCATTTTGCATTTTCTTGCTAGTTGGCGACATCACATGTTATTGATGATGCAATGTCACTACTACATACCATATTTTCTCGTACCCTAAATTCTTTCTTTATGATATATAGGGATTTAGATTATTATATGTGTGTGTGTGTTGATTTTCACAAAACAAAAAAGGACGTTGTGCATATACTTCTAAAATCTTTTCACCCGGCCCATCACACTGAACCTTGATAGAACCACAGAAGAGGAAGTGGCCAATAAAGGAATCTATCTGGCCATTTTCTGATATTCTGGAATTTATACAAGAGAGAACATAAAAACCCTACAACATTAATAGTCTACCCCAATAAAATAGACTAAAAAAGAACATATATAATTTCAGCAGTCCCTGAAAATCATGATGACATGGGAGAAAGAATCGGAAGTTTGTCAAGAAAAAATAAAAACACAGCATGATGTGAGATTTCGTGAAGAAATCAGGGAATTGTACAGCAAACAAACAAGATACAAAGAAACAATGTCAAGATGAAGAAGGTGACACACACAACAATAATCAATCTCTTTGTTTATGTAAGTAGCAATAATCCATCTTGATGTGCTTCATTTGCTCATGGAAAACAAAATTGTGCAGAATTTGACCGACACTTTTACTGTTGCAATGCATACGAGTAGGAGTAGAAAAGGAAATGCGTAAGTCAGCAATCCAAGCACATAACTAATCTTCTTAAGGTTTAATTAACAGATTCTTGTATTGTCGAGATTTATCTCAAACTTAATGCTCAACATACTTAAACAGCTAATGTCTCTCTACCTAGTCTTATCTTGTATCATATTCTTGTTAGTAATTAAGAATATATCAGTGGTACACACGTTGTTCTTATCTATGTCATTCATGTTGTGAGTCTATTTGTCTCTTCTTTGATTACAATTCACATGACTGTAATTATTTACATTTTGTGCTATCTCCATAGCCCTTTAGTGTTTAATTTTTTGGATGATTTTCTTGCTTCTTAGAAAACCAAGAATAGATCATTCTCAATGACTCCAGTCCTATTAACCTGAATATTGTGTTATTGTTACTATACGTCAAAGATAGTTCACTTAGACTGTTGCTTGCAGATTTAGGCATTCCTTTTTATACTTCTACTCACTTGTATGATGACAATAAGAAAGTCAACCAAATTCTACATAATTTTGTTTTCCATCAACAAATCAAGCATATTACTATTGATTCTAAATCTTTGTTAATAATAAACATGTGATCAACTTACAATAATAGAACAATTTGACGGCCTATATTGAATTAAAGACAACATAATTTTGTTTACCGGGAAGAAAACCCAAGTCATAGAATACTTAACTTCCACCGAGCTAAAGTAAAAAAGCCCAATGTTCATTTTTTAAAAATAATATTCCCTTAATAGTCTTATTTAAGATTTCGTTTTCTTTTTAACAAATACTAATGGTGTGTTAGTAAGGTGGATGAAAAAATAAGATGATGAAAAATGGGAGTGATAGACTTTTTATCATTCAATGGAGGAATCCTTCTTCCTTTCTCGTAACTTTTTATCTTTTGTGTTTGGTACGAGGGATGAAAAGTAAAAATAATTATTTTTTTTATGTTTAGTAGGATAAAAAAGTGAAATGATAGAAAAAATATAGATGCGTATGTTATCATTATATCTATATATGAAATTAATGTATAGATAATGTGTAATAGATAAATATGATGTATGTATATATCAAAAAATATATAGGTATATAACATACATTTTAACACACATAATTAACTTTTGATCCATTTTTTCTCTCAATTTTAGAAAAATTGGTTTTGATGAGCCGGAAGAAAAACTAATCTATCTATCTTATTTTCCTTCCTTATCAAATATAAGTTTTATCTATCCCTCTAAATTTTTATCCTTATATTTTTCATCGTAGCTAATAAGGCATATCACAAATTTTGAATGTTTGGAGATGCCCAATAATGTTTAAGGTCTAAGGCAAAAATTTTGGAGAGTCCTAAATCTCTTTTTTCATATTTAATTAATTGAAAAACACATAAAACCCCAAGTAGGGGTGCAACTTGGGAGGCCCAACCCTAGGTATAAAATCTTCAGCTTTGACCCTAACATGACCTCATACTCAACCTGCGTATCCCAATTGATTTTGGGTAAGCTCGGGTTGAAATTGAGTTCTTGAATTCGGGCCCAATTTAGATTTGCAATTCGGGCTCAACAAATTAACTTGTTAATGTGCAAGGGTAAGCCTTCTTTATATAGGGGAGATGTGAGAGGTCATGTGAATTGTCTATCTGATGTGGGATGACAGTGTCTTATCTTTCTTTTACTTTTTTTCCTTATCCCACATCGATTGTGTAAACTTTTTATCATATAGTTCTTATAAATTATGTTTTACTCCCCTTTTAAAAAATAATAATTACAAAAAATATATTTATATTTTATTGTTATATTATTTATATAAATATAGTTCATGAATTCGGATTGAACTCGGGTTGGGTTCGGGTTTATCAATTCAGGTTGGGTTCAGGTTAAACTCATGAACCCGAGTCTTGTCCAAATTCAATATGGATTGAAGTTGTTCAACCCTTACACTAAAACCTCAACCCTAACACTGTTTTTTTTTTTTGGTTGAATTCAAATTGGCTCGTCCAAGTTGCACCCCTAACCCCTAGTTGTAATATAGAATCCTTTTCTATAATGTGCAATAGAATTGCAATAACTGAACTAATAACTCTATCACAAAGTCAAATATTAATGAGTTTTTAGTTCAATTGTACAAGATTTTGCCTTCTTGAAGTTAAAGTTTAAGTTCCCCTCCCCTTTCCCCTTCTCCCTCCCCTCAAAAAAGAAAAAGTCAAATGACGGAGAAAGATATATAAGCCTGTGGGACCCACTATAAGAAAAAAAAGTTTTTGTGGCGATAAAGTACTGTCATAAAAGATTTATTTACTGTCGCAAATACTTTTTATGGCATCATTGTAGTGGAATTGTCTTGCCATAATAAGTGGAGCCTCAAAAAGTCTTTGTAGCAGTAATAACCATCTGAAATAGAATTTGTGGTAACAAATAAATTTTTTATGATAGTACTATCGCAACAATAAAAAATTTCTTCAAAACACGCTATTTGTAACTACAACTACAATTGCTACAAAAAATTTATCTCAAGGCTCTAATTTTTGTAGTGACTCTAGGCAAGTGCCTCAACTAGAGATTGGCCTAACCCTCTCAAGATGTGAACTTGGATACCCAAAGAGGAGTGAAACACTAGAGCTAGTATGACAACAACATCATGTAGTGTGGGTGTTGCACTGTTTTCTATAGTTGAATATAATCTTCCTTGAATGTGGAGTTGTTATTTGTTTTCCGACATCAATATAATTCAACCTCAATCTTATTTTCATTTAAGCCAAATTACTCACTAGGCAATGTCAAAAGTTTTGGTTTTTTTTCTTTATTCCCATGGTGTTTTTTATTTTTTTCCAGTCAAGTAGTGAAATATTTAATATGGTAACCAGAATAGTAAAACTAGGGTACAAAGATTGCTCAGTTAAATCTAGCTCATGGTTATTTCTTCTAGCCATATAAATCTATATGTACATTGACCTCTATTAATATTACCCTTTTGTGATTTTTTGTTGATGTTCAGTACTAACAAGACGATAGAACGCTATCAAAGGAATGCCAAGAACCATCGAATTGGCCACAAAGCAGTTGAAGGAAATATGCAGGTCAAAACTACTTTCATTTTGGTCTCCAAGCAAAAATATTGCCCGCTTATTCTCTTAGATGCTGGAATGCTTGTGTGATCATCGTCTTGTTCAGTAACTTTATACTGTTTTCATATCTTCATGGTGTGTCAAGTGACAAGAGTTGAAAAAATTAGATACTTGTATGCAATAAGATCTAGAGTTTGAGAACTTGTTATTTGATGGTACTCTATAGCCGGTTGAGGGTTGTATAAGTACCAAAAAACTTATTATGGCCATGAAGTTTTCGTAAATGGGCTTGAGATATGTAAATTGGAATACAAGCTAAATGTAGAGTACCCGTATATATAACCAATAAAAGTTATAATAAGGATAAAAAAGTAAAAAAAAGAAAAACTTAATAAACCCTAATAAACTAGGTCGTTATATTTCCAACACTCCCCCTCAAGTTAGGCGCAAAAATGTCAACTAGGATAATTTTGACAATGGAATTCCGAAGAATAGATAGAGTGATAGGTTTGGTGAAAACATCCGCAACCTGATCACCGGTCCCCACAAACGATGGAGTGACAATACCACTGTTAGCGTTCTCCCGAAGAAAGTGAACATCGATTTCTATATATTTCGTCCTCTCATGTAATACAGAGTCAGAAGCAAACTGAATAGCAAATCAATTATTACAATATAATGTAGATGAAAAAATTACTCAAAATCCCAACTCGCCTAGAATCGATCGTAGCCAGATAATCTCACATGTGTCAAGTGTCAGTGCTCGATACTCTGCCTCTACTAACGAGCGAGAGACAATTGACTATTTCTTGCTCTTCCAAGAGATAAGACGAGTCCCTCAAAAAACACAGAAGTCCGTAGTAGATCGACCGTCACACGCTCCACCATAATCTGAATCTGAATAACAGGTTAGAGAACCAATCTGAGATCCTAATGAATAGAACAACCCAAGTCCAGGGTAAGACTTAAGCTACCGAAAAATATAATAAACTGAATCAAAATGAGGCTAACATGGTCTGTGCATGAGCTGACTAATTCGACTGACAGCGAATGAAATGTCTGGCCTGGTGTTGACTAGGTAGATAAGTCTACTTACCAACCTTTGATAAACAGTCGGATCTTTCAACTCTTCACCTTCAACAGTAAGCTTCAGGTTTGGAATCATGGGTGATGATGCTGGTTTGTACCCCAACATCTCAGTGTCTGAGAGAAGATTTAGAACATACTTTCTCTGAGAAAGAACAATACCCCTTCTGCTACGGGCAACCTTAATCCCAAGAAAGTATCGCAAAAATCCAAGGTCCTTCACATCAAAGGCATTCCCAAGGTCTACCTTGACCTACGTAGTCCCAGAAACATCATCTCCAGTAATAATAATATCATCAACATATACCAAAAAAATGACGCACTATCCAGAAGTATTTTGTCGAATGAAGCAGGTATAATCAGAATGACATCTAGTGAACCTAAACATACAACTACATCACTAAAGTGAGAGAACTAGACTCGTGGTGACTGTTTCAGTCCATAAAAAGACTTATGCAGTTGACATACCTTTCCAGCATACTCCCCCTCGCTATGAAAGCCCGATGGTCGATCCATATAAATAATCTCGTCAAGATCACTGTGAAGAAATGTATTTTTCACATCCAACTGATGAAGAGGCCAAGAGAAATCCTCAACCAGAGAAATAATCAATCGAACATTAGTCAATTTTGCCACAGGGGTAAAGGTGACACCAAAATCCCGACCTAGTACCTGAGTAAAGCCTTCGCCACAAGCCTAGCCTTGTGACGATCAATAGTACCATTCACAAGAAATTTCAGGGTATAAACCCAGCGATAGTCAACAGGTTCACCCCTGAAAGTAAAGAGACAAGATTTCATGTATGATTACGCTGAGGAGCGTTCATCTCTGTCTGCATGGCAGGAACCCGCTGGGACTCTCGCATAGCCTCTGAAATAGAGCGAGGAACCGGCGTATCTGATAAGGCCATACTATAAGCTCGAAATGTAGGAGACAGATCATCATAGGAAACATAAGTAGAGATCGGATATAAAATTCTAGCAGTCCAACCATAACGAACAACTGGACGACGATCATGCTACGGATAACGATGCCTTAAATCATCATCTTCCACTGACAATGCCTTATCAGGTAAAGCAACTCGCTCAGTACCTGCAATCTCATCAGTACTAACAATAGGTGCATCAATATGCTCAACGAACTGAGAAGTATTATTTGCATTGCCTGAGATAGAGGGGACATCAGCAGGGAGATTAGAGCGAGGGCAACGAACATAAACCTGTAAAGGAAGAGTGACTGGTCACTCTGTACTGATAGGGATGAGTGGCTTTGGAAGAGGAGAGATTGATGACTCGGTAGTGATAGGGACCAATGGCTCTAGCTTCGGTGGTAATAAAAAAATTAAAGGAAGTATCATCAACTGGAGGGGCAGACACAGGATTGGAAGAAAAATAAGGAATATGCTCAAAAAATATAACATTTAGACTGTGATACATACGACGTCTAATAAGATCATAACACCGATTCTCCTTAAACTGATGACAATAGCCCACAAAGACACAACGAATTACTTTATCATCAAGCTTATGACGAGTACGAGACCAATCCTGAACAAAACATGTGCATCCAAAAACATGAGGAGGGACTGAAAAAAGTGTCTGCTCAAGAAATAAGACCTGTAAGGGAGCTCTATGCTGAAGAACACGACTCGGCGTATGATTGTACAGAAAGGTAGAAGTTAAAATAATAAAATGTCAATAAGATTTTGGTACCTCCATGCCTCTAAGCATAGAACGTACCAACCCTATCAAACTCCTATTTTTTCTTTCAGCAACGCCATTTTGCTCAAGAGTATATGGACAAGTGAGTTGCTGAAGAATAACCTGAGAAGAAAGGTGAGACACTAAGACATCAAACATATTCTTTGGCATTATTCGAATGAAGAGCACGAACAATAACATCGAATTGTGTCTTAATCATCTGTAGAAACTGAGTAATTATAAGGAGTATATTGGACTTTCTATACAAAAGGTAGACCCAAGTACAACGGGTATGGTCATCTATAAATGTCATATAGTATCGAGCACCTGTTAAAGCAGTAACAGAAAAGGGTCCCCAAATATCAGAGTGTATTAGGTCAAATGGTTTGGGTGACTGGTGTATGCAAAGAATATAATTGGTCCTAACATGTTTCAATAGAGAACATATAACAGATTCAAGTTTACCACCAACACAAGCATTGCTCAAAGCAGGAAACAACATACATAAATATTTAAAATTGTATGTCCGAAATGGTTATGCCACAATTGAACAGTTTGTGACAAAAAATCATAACAACAACTACTGGGTAAAATAATAGCATGTAAGCTAGGAACAAATAAAGACAAAGTAGGTGCAAGTGATGTAGGTGGAGGAACTGGTGAAGCTGGAGGTGGATTGCCTAGATAATACAATCCATCTTTCTCATGTCCCTTGATAATAATCCTCTTAGTACTCAGGTTCTGTAAATAACACGAATTAGATAAGAACACAATCGCACAGTGAAAATCTCTAGCTAACTGATGTACAGATATTAGATTCATGGCCAACTTTGGTGCATGAAAAATTGAACGTAATGTAAAGTCATCTGGGAGGCAAACTGTACCCCTACTAACAATAGGGGCATGTGTCTTATCTATTAACTGAACCTGTGTATGTAACTATTTATCAAAAGTGGTGAAGTGATGGGCCTCACCTGTCATGTGACTATTCGCACTCGAGTCCAGCATCCAAAGGAGAAACGGACTGGCATAAGCATGAAAGGCACGAGGTATACTTGTAGTGGTGGTAACAGCAGTAGTCGGACTTTGAGAAGTCAGAGCGGACATAAGTATATCCAATTGAGAAGTGATAGCATCCATATCACTCTACCAAGAAGGAGCAATAACATGAGTAGCAGTAGTAGGTAGTGGTACCTCAGCAATAGTAGCAGTATGGCCGTGAGGAGGCTATTTAAGCTCTGGATGGAGCTTCCAGCAAGCAACCCGGAAATGTCCTGGTCAGCTACAATAATAACACTGACGAGAATCCCCCTGTCTGCGTTAATCTGGGGCACCCTGACGCCGCTGGTCTGAACGCTGCCCACCCCTGACTGAGGATCTTGAACGAGACCCTACAGCAGCTGCAAGGGTTATATGATCAGCCAAAGGAGTTAAGGCTGCAACTGGAACTGATGCAATACGGACACGGTGCTCATGCTGCTCAATCATTGCATACATCTCATAAAGAGAAGGAAGCGTCAACATCAACAGGATCTGGGAACGAGGTCCCTCAAACTTATCACGAAGCCTTATAAGAAACTTGTGAATCCTATCCTCCTACTCGCGAGTATGCAAGAATGTTGTTCCCTCGGGCTCTATCCTCGGAATAGCAACAAGAGGACGTAGAGTTTCATACTCAAGTCAGCGCTGGATCAAATAGCCATAATAATCCTGAACGGTCATATCTTCCTGTCGAGCATATGAGAGCTCTTGAGAAAGCTCATAAACACGTATTCCCCATCCTTACTGAGAATACATCTTTTGATAATGTGCTCCATAGCTTTGGTACAAAGTTATGAAAGTGATGAATCCGACAAACAGATGACTCCATTGAACCAAATAACCATTTAAGAATGACTCAGTTCTCAGAGAACCACGCAAAATATCCAGGGTCGGCATCAGCTGGATCTGGGTGAGATCCCGTCAGCCAACCAAGCTTCCCTACACGGCCTAGGAAAAGCTAAAATGAGTGAGACCACTCAGCGAAGTAACGACCATTCAACAACTGTGCTGTAACTTTCCGAGAGAACATGCCTGACAGTATTGGTAATGCAACTGTGCCAGTAGGTACTGTATATTGGTTAAACATAAAAAGGGAAATATCAATAGATGTCTCAACGGTAGAGGTCTGAAGTCCTACAGTAGTAGCTATATAAATAACGAATCTACTGCATCAAGAGCAGATCA